GTTTCGAATGTGTGTTACAATGGAAAAGAAGAAGGAGGTGGTGGTGGCGCCGTGACGCGCAAAAGGAAGAAAACCAGCTGCGGCACACACATTGGAATTATCGCGTGCTCGTGGATTATCATGGATATTCAGAAACTCGTCTTGCCTCGCACGCCCGGTATCCTTCCCGTCTGTCTTTTCTTTTCCATGCCTGCTGGAAGTAACAAGCCGAGAAACGTTCGCATTGCGACACATAAATTAGGCGTGCTCTCCATTGCGTTTTTCCGGCTTCGCAGAGCGCGCGCGGCCTACCTACACGCTTTTTGCTCGTGGCCGATCGATATTGAAACTGTTTGATGAATGTTCTACTTTATTTCTTTTTTATTCTGATATATCTGCGCGATTTAGGGAGGTATCATTACTATGAACGTGTAATTTGTTTGTTTACTTTCTATATTAATGTTCTAATGTGCTACAAACTTGACATAATTAGTGACAATTGAATAAGATAAGTCTATCATGTGAATGTGAACAATATTAAAGATAAATATGAGAAAAAACAAAAGCATACGCCAATTGAAAGAAATCAAATTTACACACAAAAAATAATAAATTGTAACTTTTAAGAGTTCAATAGAAAATTATCTTGAAAATTAATTATCACGGATATAGTCAGTTACATGAAGCGAAAATTCTTTTAAGAATTTGCAATATCCGTTTGTTTGCCCGCGTAACTTGCATACCGTATTTCCTGTCCTTCAGAGGTGAAATAAAAGTAATCGGTGTGTCCAAGAAATCCACATCTCGCAATACCACCGCAATCCCGCCGATCTTTACTACCGTTGACGACGACCGTTGCCACTCGAGTCGAGTCTATTAAAATTCCCAGTGGGAGTTAGTAGTATTTCGGCCGACGTTGCATAAAACTGGGACGACGTGTTATCTCCCGCAGACGTCATATTTCCACTTATGTCTTCAAGCTTCTCTCACGAACGTGCTTGTTACAAAGGAGCTGTCAACGAGTGCTCAGGCGTGTATCGTTGTCCCGTGATACATATTTCACGCGACACAGAGAGAAAATTATTGCGCACGCAACCGAAATATACCTGGTCGCATAAAGACCGGGTTTCAGCTCAAACACGCGACACCGGAAAAACAGTACTTTTTTTTTTCAATGGTACAGAGCGCAAATGTGTCGCGCTCCAAAAAGTCAGTCCGCAAAGAAGCGACTATCGTGCTGCCGTTGCTCGCGGCGTTACTTACTTCTTTTTGTTGATACCTTCCGACGAGAAAACTATACGGGTGAATCACCGGGAATACCGCCGAAAGAATAGCGACAAGAACGCGCGCGATCGCGATCAGGACGCAGTCTATTTTCCGCGCTGCTGCGCCGAAAGCGGGTTGCTCGTCGTCGATCTACGAAAACGTAAGAAACGAAAGAACAATTCCGACGCGCAACAGGGAGACTATTTACTATTCGAGCGAGACAGGCACGACATTTGCGTAAAGCACGCTCATTAGACAAACGTATTTTTCTCGTTTCTGCGTGGAAATCGTGGAGCACGAGAAAAACGAGTTCAGAATGAATTTTTCCGCGAAAGTTGACGTATCCGATGTTCGGATATTTACGACTACGTAAATTAGCTGTCATTCACATATGAAGGATTTCCAAATTTTTTACTATGTAAACTTATTTGTTTTTCTGTCGAAGCGTTTTTATATTTTCCTTCCTGTGTAAACAGCGTGATGTAGTTTAGTTCGAAATACTCGTATTTAAAACTGTATGATAACAAATTCAATTAATAATTTTTTTAGTAAAGTTTTTAGAGTAAAGAAAGAGCGAGAAAGAGACAGAAAAGTACGTCTTTTATTTAAACAAACAATTATATCTCCGCAAAGCAATATGATTAAATAAATCTAATTCACATTCACTTTTGCTTGTCTAAGGTACGTACACTGAAGTTCGCCCGGAACAGAAAGTAATTTCCCTATTAATTGCTGAATTCAAATTAGCTCTCATAAAGAAGCTAATTATAGACATCGTTAAGTTGATTTAGTGCGGGCAAAATTCTTCCCGGTTTGTTCGCGCTTCTGGCGTCAATATGAAAAATTATTTCGTAATACGGAAGCATTGCTGCATTTCTAAAGAATTTTCTATGCCTGCAGCGTCAAGTTCAACCAACAACTAATTACCAAGAGAGAGAGACGAATTTGTCGTGCGCCCACGAACACGCTGGCGTATTTTTCTTCCTGACGGCAATTCTTCTGTTATTTTTAGTTCTCTTTGCACACACACACACACACAAATTCAAGAGAGAAAAAGAAGAAAGAAAATCAGCGATTTCGCCGCGTAGCCTGTTTTTCTGCAAACGGCAACGTCGTGCCTCTTGAGCACGCTGCAAACACGTTTAACGATCATCTACTGAAATGTCGCAAGTATTCTGTCGAGCGGAAGAAAAGTGAAGCGATCGGAAATATCTTATCGTGAAAAGTGTTACTGATACATCTCAAGTTTTATCCCGTTTGAAATAATTTAAACATATGCGATTTCTCAACTGTAGCGTGTTATCGCGCGCTTGCGTGGCTGCATGCTTAGATAAAAATTTATCTATATTGTGAATATAAAATTAATTCATGAATATTAGAGAGAGAGAGAGAGAGAGGGAGAAGCGGTAGTTTTTAACTTCTAGAAAATCATCTCAATGAATATGCATTATTTCGATATACTATATTTATTTGTATATGTAATATTCTCTCCTATAATTAATGAGAACATAAATAGGAATGAAATAGAATTTAATTGTAAAGAAAATAAAAAGTAAAAGCGATACTTAAATATATATCAAGCCAAGATTATAAGTACTTAACCATTCTTGAGTGATTTCCTCTCAATTTATTACATGCAATAATATAAAATAGAAAGGAAGAGAAAGACAGAAAAAAAGAATTTAATTTAAATCTCAATTATATAATATAATTTTCTAATGTAGTTTTGACATATTATATAACATCGAGCGCGCACATTTGCCTTCCAGGAAGAGTTAGTTTTCCCCATTCGATAACGTTCGTGTTATCAAGTCAAATATATCATTGTATGAAACTGTAAAGTTTACCGGTTTGTTACAGTGAGCTCTATAAGTCACTGGAGTGATTCTTATAACGTGCTTCGAATTCTAAATATGAAATTTTACATGGTTTTTTTTATTGAAAAATATTATTTTATTGATATTAAGATTCATTGATATTATCAAAATGTTATGAATATTTCATCCTTATAGAAAGTTTTTCTCTCAAAAATTTCTCTTTTTCTTGGATTTCTCGAATAGAGAATTCAAATATTTACTTTTTATTTATTTGTGATTTTCTATATGTTTCATCAATTACAAATTGACTCTGAATAAAATAAAAAACGTGAAACCTGCTATACTTATCTTACGGCAAATGAGAGAGCTGTAAAAAAAATCTCCGCGGGTATGTAAGCGTATTCATACGGAAGACATTAGTTAGGAAAGAAACTACTGTATTTAACTGTTACACGCAAACCCCGCTTTACATGTAATTACGCGCGATCGACAAAATAGGGAGAGTAAATCGTATTACGCAAGTGGCGGTTGCCGTAACGTGATTTGATATACACGCGGAAATGCTAATTGAATTTCTTGATTAGAATATCTTGGCTAATTTGTTCTATTTGTAGGAAAGTAAGACTAGAGTAACGCGATTTCGGTAATAAATGAACAGCCCGCAAAACACATTTATTTATTTTTGCATACAGTACCTATTTCATTTTTTTTAGTGAGTTAATCTTGAAGAAAAATATCAATAAATGTTTGTTGATTCATTATGTATTGCAACTAAGTCATATATTTCTACATAAGGTAAAATATTAAAACATTCCTGCTTACATTATGTATATCTGTGTGTAACCAAAAACAAACTAACTTTAATAATCTGCAGTAAAATTTGCAATTTGAATTGTAATTATTCGCACAATAATTTTATTTGTAGAGATACTTCTTTTGTTTTGATTTTACAATTCAAATTAAGTATTTATTTATTTAGCTCTGAGTTGCCGCGCAATATTGCGATAATCACTTTTTTTAATTTAAGAGGTCACGGTATATTTTAGAATATCTGCTATGTTCATTATAATCTTATTTAAGACATAAACGTGGTAACACTAAACAAAATACATATATGTGATAACAGTTACAAACTAAAAAAACAAATATTTTAAAATGTTTCAAAATAGGAAAATCAAAATTTAATTTTGTAACGTTTACAAAAAAGGGTTTTGTGCACGGCATGCCATAAAGCTATCCTAAAAGAAAAAGAAAACAAGAAGAAGAAAAAAACGAGACAGTAAATATAATTAAATTTAAAAAAGTTAAAACGCAATTTTTCAGCAAAATTTCTAGCGCATGCAAAAACATTTCCACAGCTCTTGGCAAACCAGTGCCAAGGCCTTAACTAGCAGCTTTCCAGTGCGCCGTAGAGAAATCTTTTCGCAACAATTGATGGTATCATAATAACAACAACCACAGACCTAAATTACGTATGTCCGACGATTGTACATTAACATAATAATCTAAAACCATGTATTATGCTCTTACCTCACCGTAATTATCACTAGTTAGTGACTCTTCAGTTGTTATCGAAACTTTTGCCGGATTTCCTTGTGTCTATATCATTATAATTAAACATTAACGTCCGATTTAGAAATTATTATCTGCAACAATAATTTGCGGATAATCTAGATTAGATGACAAAACCATACGGGATTTATTGGTCAAAGATGAATCTAATCGGGGAAAAGTTAATTAGAGATAGATGCAGATGTTTTTCTTCCAGCAAATGCAATTAACAGTATTCATAGCCTATTTCTTCCGAATCGGCTACCTCACTCTTCTCTACCTCACTCTTCTCCCGTATCACTCGCAAATACGTATTTTTTTTCCAAAGTAATCGGTTTGCGCCAAATAACGATAGGACTTTAATGACTTTTGTCGCTTCGGAATTAGGAGGATCAGCCGGTGCCGTGGTGGCGTCTAGACTGAGCGACATACCCGAATGGAAAGTTTTGTTGCTAGAAGCCGGCCCGGACGAGCCACCGGGTGCCGATGTTCCCAGTATGGTGGCAATGTTTCTAGGTAAGTTTCAATTGGACCTTTCGTATACACAGCGTCGCCGCTGTTTCGTTATCTGCGCGATGTTCAGTTCCCGCTGCAATAATGAGCATTTATAGAATATAATTCGCACATTTTTTTTTTTAAGTTTGAGCTAAAATTAGCTTACAAATTTTTATTTCATCGGTTATCACGAATTCTGTTCGCTTAGGATTTCAAGAAGCATTTCTATTTTTTTATCTATCGAATTTAATATGACGCGAATTAATATCTTCGAACAATTGTGACAACGAAAATTCGATTCAAAAAATTAAGATAAAATCAATTTGATATCATCTGTTAAATAATAAAACTATAATATAAATAAATATTCACGTGTCTCGAATGACGCAAGAAATTACATATCGTGTTCAAAATACAATGTATTTTGAATATATCTCGGAGAGAAATTTGTGGCACTGCTCATCTGGAATCTACATTATTATGAGATCTGTTGCGATCCGTTGCGAGCTTTACGCATGTTAAACGATCTGACAATTTTACCGATAGGAACTGACATTGACTGGCAGTATCAAACCACGAACGAGATGAACGCTTGTCTGTCAAACGGCGGATCCTGCAGTTGGCCACGCGGTAAAAACCTAGGCGGAACATCCGTTCACAACGGTATGATGTATAACCGAGGACACGCCAAAGATTTTGACAATTGGGCGGCCATGGGTAACGCCGGATGGAGCTGGCGCGACGTAAGATGTCGTTAAATTTACTTTAACATATTATTTAAAATATTTTTATCTTTAATCAGTTTTATATATAGATATAATTTTTTTCAATAAAAGCGTAAAAATACACAGACGTTTTAGAATATGGAAAAACAAATGATGTTAAATCAACAGCATCAGTTTAATTGAAATGTATTCTGTTAATTCAACATCAATATTATTGAACTACACACAGTAGATAGTTGCTTTAGGAATCTAGATATTAAATTACTCGCACATGCAATTGAATGAACTATTTATTTTTGTGGCAACCCGTGACGTCGACTTTAATTAAAGCAACTCCATTTCTTTCCTGTGAATGTTTGTTTAGTTTTTTCGATTGCAAAACTTACAACATAAATGATTAATAAGAGTTAAACTGTCGGTTTATGTTAACGCATTTGTCACTTATCAAACTTATGTGAAAATAGCTTTCTGTAAAATATAGAAATATAAAATATAAAATATAAAAAATATAAAAATATTATCATTATAAAAATATTATTATTTAGTACACATTCTTTTAGTGATATGATTTTTAGTATTGGTGCGATGACAAGTTCACTTTGAGAAAGATAATAAGAAACTGTATGACACTTTTTGTTGTATTTTGTTTAGGTTCTTCCGTATTTCATGTGCTCAGAAAACAACACAGAGATTCAACGAGTCGGTCGCAAGTATCATGCGACCGGCGGTTTGTTAACCGTCGAACGGTTTCCGTGGAAGCCTCCGATCGCTGACGACATCCTCGCGGCGGCGACCGAAAGAGGATATCCGATTAGCGAAGACCTGAATGGCGACCAATTTACAGGATTCACAGTGGCCCAAACCACAAGCAAGAACGGCGTTCGAGTGAGCAGCGCCTCGGCGTTTCTCCGTCCGTTCCGTCACCGGCGCAATCTGCAAATCGCGCTCAACGCCACTGCCACGAAGATCATCATCGAGGATCAAAAGGCCGTCGGTGTCCAATTCAACCAAGTTAGTACCATGTATTTAAATTTCTTCAACTCTTTAACTTTATGTGAGTTCTCGCAGAACACATAAAATTTGCAATAAACGTCGTCTGGAATTCTGTTTGTCACGATATCGCGAGCAGCACGGGTTTTTATTCGGTCGAGAGCTGCAGAGAAACTAGCTGTAAGTTCTATTAATACGTCGAGCGTCACGCTTGAAAAACTTGCATTATGCACGAGTAAGAATTTGCTGAGGGGTCTTATATACGATTTTATTATTTTATTCATTTATTAATGTGTTGCAACGCGCGCTCTAGTAGTCATGCGCGGAGATCACGCAATACAAAGAGTCACTTTCACGCTTGTTAAAAATATTCTTCAAATCGATCGTTCACGCCTAATATCCATGCGCAGATGACACATAATAAAGTCACTTTCATGGATATTAAGAACATTATTTATATTTTTTGTCGTATTTTTACAAGTTCTTTACATGTGCGCGCATAACCGATAATCGATTTGTCATACTCTGCTTGTTTAATATCGATATTGTTCAATTTTTTTTCCGAGAAAATGAATTTTATTAAAATCATATATCCAATAGCGCGCGACTGTTTTATCTTGATAAATTATTTTTGATTGCTCGGAGAGAATAATATTCTGGATATTACGTAAACGCGTTATATGGATATTTCGTAAAAATGTTAACGCTCTCAAATTAGAAACAACATGTAGAGTATTGCCATTACAAATGTAAAACATTGCCATCGATTGTATATAACGTGCGCGTTGAATTTTTCAAAATACACATTGCTGGAAATAGACGGGACACAATAAAATAGCACACAATAACGCACGCTATCGGAGAACTTTGCTTTTTGCCGGAACGGTTACCAACACTTAGAGCGCGAACTGGATTTTGCGCTCTAAAGCGCGACGTGAGTTTGGTAATGTGAGTTTCAATGAACGCATCTTCAGGGTGGTGAACTTCGAGTTGCCCGCGCCACAAAGGAGGTAATCGCCTCCGGTGGTGCCGTAAATTCGCCTCAACTGTTGCTACTCTCCGGAATCGGGCCGAAGGAACATCTACAGGCGGTAAACGTCACAGTCGTCAAGGACCTGCCAGGTAGGCAAGCCATTCATTGCGTGTAAGTCATTACGAATACGCGTCGATATGTATAATGACTTAGAAAGATAATAATCTTTCAGAGTTTAACCCGTAATGACGCGGCTATTAATCGATCTACGCAGCGGAATATTAACGTCGCAGTCGTAACAAAGACTTGAATAACAATTTATTCTTTTAAATTTTTTTCCGAATTTTCCGTTATTTAAAAAAAAGAAATACGAGTAGCATTAACCGCGAGTGATAACCGCGTATTCGATCAAGCGAATTATTTTGCTCTAGGTGTCGGCGAGAACCTGCATAATCACGTGTCGTACACTTTATCATGGACCATCAATCAGCCGAATCTTTACGATTTGAATTGGGCGAGTGCCGCAGAATATATCGCCTTTCAAAATGGCCCGATGGCATCGACGGGTCTGTCGCAATTGACCGGAATGCTACCGTCGATCTACACGACACCGGATCATCCCGACATTCAGATATTCTTCGGCGGGTATCAAGCGGCCTGTGCGACCACCGGCGAAGTAGGTGCCATCATGAACAATAACGGTCGCAGCATCAGCATGTCACCGACGATGACGCAACCTCGCAGCAAGGGTAAGCCAGATGTAATTAGCTTCAAACTACTGGATTTCTATCCAAAAAAAAAAATTAATTAGATGATAATGATGAATTTATTATCATGATGTCGAAACTGCCGTTCAAAATTCCATACGTAATTCAACGCGGAAATGACAAGTTTGGTCTGTCATTGTGTCGAGCAGCTATCATGAAATTCTATAAATTGATTAAAATTAATGCTCTATCGTTACATATCCGCACAATCGTTGATTTGGACGTTTAACGTAACACATGTTTGATGTTTTTATCATCAATTATATAACGCAGCTAAAATGCACTTGCGTTATTGCCGCAGGAACTCTTCGTCTCGCCAGCAACAATCCCTTCGCTAAGCCGATCATTTGGGGAAATTATTTGAGCGATCCTTTAGACAGAGCGGTTCTCGTCGAGGGCATCCAGGTCGCTTTCTCTCTCGCCAATACCAGTGCCATGGCCAAGTACAATATGACTCTCAACAATAGACCTTTACCCGCGTGTTCCCAATATCCATTCCTGAGCAGAGAATATTGGGCCTGCGCGGTGAGCCAGGATACAGGCCCGGAAAATCATCAAGCAGGCTCCTGCAAAATGGGACCACCGCACGATCCCATGGCTGTAGTTGATAATCGATTGCGAGTGTACGGCATCAGAAACCTTCGTGTTGCCGACACGTCTATTATGCCGCAGGTAAATATAAATCACGGAAATAATATACTATTACATCTGCACCGTTTGTTGTCTTGAGTCATTAATTAGGGGATATATCACAAATATGATACGTTACTTTTTTAAGGTAACGTCCAGCAATACGGCAGCTCCGTCCATGATGATCGGTGAAAAGGCGGCCGCGTATATCAAGTCCGATTGGGGCAATGTCGCCACACAATGGTACGGGAAACCACGTAGCCATAGCCCCATATGGAAAAACAGCCATTGGAAGCGTCATTAGTCACCAGCAATTTACCATGTTTCCTAGTTCCCGCACGACGATCGACAGTTCGCTGGACCTATTACTTTGGGGGATCAAGTACATCGACTGGGATCAGACAATATGGTAGCCCGGAGCCACGATCTATCTAGTCTCGTTATGATACATCGCGTTTTCCCGCAGCTTTAACAAAATCGACGTGAACATGACCAAAGGCGAGGACTCTCTGGAACATCCTGCAGAGACGCAATTTCCTCTCTCCTCTTCGGTATCGAAATACAATTATACCTCGCGCTTGAGCGCAACATTGGATTTGAAATTACGTCACAACGTGCAATTACGTGCGCAGTCATCAACACACAGGGAGTCGTACAACTAAAGACAGTCGTATTATCCCGTTATGTAACCGCCATGTTTTAATTTCCAGTTAGGAATTTCCTAAGATTGCGCGACTATGGCAGCGTTGTGGCTTTTCGAAGATCCATCATATGCCGTGATGTTGCAGGCCTAAATCCCCGTACAAGTATTGTTACTATTATTCTTAATTTTCTTAAATACTTTTCTTTTTTTTGACTTTACGTGGATTATATTGTTTTTCATACATATAATTATATATGTATGAAAAACTTTTTAGATGGATATATACATATATTTGCTTTTTCGATATTCAATTCTATTATTTTCTAGTATAGCTGTGACATATTGTATATCGTTCACGGACGTTCTTTACATAACAACCAAAGACAAATCGTTTCTGATACACTTGATGCGATAATGATAGGCCAAAAACTGTAGTAATTAATTGTTAACAAAAAGAAAGATAAGTTAAAAATGAAATTGATAACAACAAATAAATATCTCGACTGCTCACAAAGTGCGCGAGTATAAATCAAAATGTTGTAAATAAAATAAGATTGCATGCAAAAAAAATTATCAACCGTCGTGAAGCCACCGTTCATCTCCGTTTGTTTCCAATAATCCGCTCCTACAACACTGTTACAATTGCGTTTCACGAATAATATATATTATTTATTTTATAGTAACGTATTGAGAGAAAAAAGTTTTTCAAAGTTTTGTGTAATAAAACATATTTTCTACATATATATACACGCAGAGTAACTTGCTTGTGTGATATGTAGTGTTAGAGAGAGAAAACATTAATATTAATAAATTAAATTCACTAAAGCATACATACAAATACATTTACTTTTTAAATGTAAGAATAGGGTTTTAAAAAACGCAATTCATAAGCGCAACTGTTTATTTTATTTGCGCTATTTTTCCTGACATACTATTTATCAATCTCCCAATGATAGCGATGATTTACAAGTGTGACAAGTACGAGTTATAACAAGCGCCACTATTATCGGTGAGTTACGCTCAACGCTTAATCACAGATGACATTTCGGGGAACGTACAACAATGTACAATACGTATACGAACTGGGTATATAACAAAGCAACACAAGAAAGAGCATTGCAATCAGGAAGTGACAATCGAGCGGAACAGACGGTCTTCCTTACAAGTTCGAAGATAACCGCATTCAAGGAAAATGGTATGTTGGTGTGGAAGTGAAGTATTATTACGTGAACAGAGAAAAACAATTTGAGAAAAAAGCACAACACTCAAAAACATTATAATCCATAAGCATGATAAAATCGATTTTTCACATAACACTTTCAAAGTAATAATAATAAGAAATAATAATAATAATAGTAAGAAACAGTTATAATAATAAGAGTATATCAAACAAGATTAAATATTCGTTTTTTATATATGTACACATAAACTAAACTTAAAACTAAAAATTTCCAGAATACCATTCACGCAAAAAATTTTAACTTTTACACATATTTAGTTAAATTGCAGCTTTATATTTATTTATTAAATGCGTCTTTTTCGACATTTGATCGGCGAAATGTCAGATGTTGGTACATTTCCTTCGTGTATTTCTTATTATGTGTCTGTCAAATTTCTTTTTATATTTTTGTTTATCTTAATGTATCTTTTTGAAGTCAATACACACACATACACATACACATACTGTTCTTTTATTTTGATTTTGTAACAATGATGACATAATATAATAAGCTTCTCGACTATACAACATATAAAACCGAAAACAAAATTCTGAATGCTTCGATATATTTAGTTGTGTAAACTACTATGTTATATAGACCGTGCCGAACTTCGTGATACCAGAAACAACATGTACATCGCCCTTCGTGGGTGGACTCTCGCTGAATTCTGTCTGCAGTGCAAACTCCGCGAGTTTATTTTTGACTTTGCTGAATACGTTGCTTACTTATCACACGGCAATCAACGGACCGTGTGAACGTATTAAACCTATTACAAAACCAGATTTAGTGTACGACTTCATTGTCGTCGGAGGTAAGACAATCAATATATGAATATAATAAGCCTCAGTTTTACTTTGTATTATTTTGATTAAATTATGATGAATATGCGATAGTGATGTGTTTTTAACGAACATAAGATTGCCTTTTGTTGACAATTTAGGTGGTGCAGCTGGGCCGGTAGTGGCTGCGAGATTGAGCGAGATTAAAAATTGGAAAGTACTTCTGGTAGAAGCCGGACCTGATGAACCAGCCGGCACGCAAATACCGAGCAACCTTCAACTTTATCTCAGTAATGCGCTTCTGTACTTCACCTTTTAGTTTATAATTTATAGTTCATTTTTAATTAATTTCAATTGTATTTGCGCAGACACGGAACTCGATTGGAAATATCAGACCACAAACGAATCATACGCGTGTTTACAAACTAATGGTAGCTGCTACTGGCCGAGAGGTAAAAATCTCGGCGGTTGCACTAGTCATCATGGCATGGCGTATCATCGAGGTCACGCAAAGGACTACTATAGATGGGTGGCAATGGGAAATGCAGGATGGTCTTGGGAGGATGTATGTTTTAAACAAATGTCATTACTTAACAAGCGCAGAGACATATAGTCAAATCATTAGTTAACTGTTTCGAATGATTAATAATTTGATGTTCGTCCGTCAGGTGCTACCATATTTCTTCAAATCAGAAGACAATAAAGAAATCGGAAGAGTCAGAGCAGAAGATCATGGCACTGGAGGTCCGATGACTGTCGAAAGGTATTTTGTTCTGTACTATTTTTATTTTCAATTTGTTTATTATTAATTCTTACGGTATTTTTATCCGATATACACGCATATATTAAGTATATCTTTAAAACGATACAATAAGTTTACACATTTATCATTTTGCGTGTCGCAATAAGCGTGATTGAACCGGTGAGTCATTAAATAAAACTGTGTTCAGAACTACAACGCGCTTCAACGTAATTGCCATAGTTTCCTTGCCACTACAAAGTAGTTTATATGCGCGAATTAAACTCGCTGAGAGATTACTTTCATTAATAGATTTCCGTGGCATCCGCAATTCGCTGAGGACGTGATGAAGGGTGCGAATGAAGTAGGTTTGGGCGTCACCGAAGACCTGGTGGGCGAGAAAATCACAGGATTCACCCTGGCGCAAACGATCAGCAGAAATGGCGTTCGACTCAGCGCTTCCAGAGCTTTCTTGTGGCCGCACAGGAACCGCAAAAATCTTGACGTGGCTCTGAACGCGATCGCGACGAAAATCAACACAAAAAAAGTTGGAAACAATGTGAAAGCCCAGGGAATTACTTTCGTTATGGTGAGCTGACGCGTCGTAATTTTTCATGTAATGCAATTCTGCGATTTTTCTGTAGAAATGATCTTTTATCACACTGCACGACGAATAACTTGTTCGCAGAATGGCAAAGAATATCACGTAGCAGCGAGAAAGGAAGTGATTCTCACGGCTGGTGCCATAAATTCGCCGCAACTTTTGCTTCTGTCGGGTATCGGACCAAAGAAGCATCTGAATTCCGTGGGAATTAACACAGTCGTCGATCTGCCGGGAGTCGGTGAAAATCTTCATAATCATCAGTCGTATGGTGTGGACTACGTTCTCAATAAGACGAAGGTAGACGAGCTTAATCTCAATAGCGCCGACTTATACTTGTACAACCAAACTGGTCCGATGTCGGGCACAGGTCTGGCCCAGCTCACTGGAATTCTAGCGTCTAATTACACTACTCAAGACGATCCGGATATACAGATCTTCTTTGCCGGATATCAAGCTACATGCGATACGGGCGACAGAATCCCCGACTTGCAAACGCACGGTAACAAAGAAACTGTTAGATTCACTTCCGTGAATATTCAGCCACACAGTAGAGGTAAGCTGATGCATACTTGTGTTTTAATAATGAATAAGATATTTAAAAATATCTAATTATAGTTTTTAAAAATTGAAAATTCCGCTTGTTACTACGAGACATTGTAAAAATTAAATATGTTTTGTTGATAAATTCCAGGCCGACTCATGCTGGCATCGAAAGATCCCCTAAGTCCCCCCGTCATTTGGAGCAACGATCTGTCTCATCCCAAAGACAGATCGATCGTTTATCAAGGTCTCCAAAAAATTTTCAAACTGACCAAATCGCAAATATTGCAAAAAAAGTACGGTTTGAAATTAACTCTCGAGACTGTTCCGGAATGTAAACAATACATAAAAGGAAAAAAACAGGATCATTTGACTTATGAATACTGGGATTGCCAAATCCGATACCTAACTAGACCCGAAAATCATCAAGCTGGAACGTGCAAGATGGGTCCCGCTTCGGATCCTATGGCTGTTGTCGATCCGAGTCTCAGGGTTCATGGTGTGCAAGGTCTGCGAGTCGCTGACGCGTCTATCATGCCGCAAGTAAGCATTATTCTTTTTTTCATTATCTGCGTCATTACATATTAAGACACCGCGAACGATTAATTATTGTTCATTGCATTGTTTCCTTTTTGTTTAATCTGTGACTAAATGATATATATGTACACTAGAATATATATATTTTTGAAAATAATATATATTTCTCTGTAATCAACATATATTTTATTTCTTAGGTGATTTCTGGTAATCCCGTTGCTGTAATCAATATGATCGGCGAAAGACTTTCTGATATTGTCAAAGACGACTACGGTATGAATAATAATTAAAAAAAAATTAACATATTTTAATGCCAAATTATTAGTACGAATAGGATGTTTAGATCCTATCGATTTGTTATTAGATTTTATGTAAACATGACAATTTGCAAGATACTTAAATAAATACACTCGTGTGTTTAAAAAGTTTTGTTTGTTTAATATATTTTCCCAACCACACTGTGTTTAAACTAATTCTCGGCTACACGCAACACTAAACATATAAAATTAGTTTTAAGTTATAGTTTTAGTTAGTAAAATATTTATTTTTTTACAAAATATATTTTAAGAATATATTTTATCTTTTATTTTATATACATTTTTTCATTTTCTTTATCACAATAAAAATAGATATCTATTGTACAGGGTGTTGCATTTATATACAGCTCATATAGTGCAACAAATTGTCTACTTGATTTCAAACAAATAAAACATATCGTATCTAGTAGATACGTGTTGAATATGCGCACTGTAAAAAACTAAACTCGAATTTATTTTACAGCTTTTACTTAAAATATGTTTTATTTTAAATATAAATAAATGTGAATGGCTGCAAAATAGATTAAAAATAAACACAATAAGTTTCTTCGGCAAATTAAAAATTAAACTATGTTTCTCTTAATTTTTTATCTGATCAAAGTCATTTTTTTATCTGATAAAAATTATCCTGAATCTGTTCAAGTTCATGCCCTTTAACTAATAGAACAAATCGAAATTACTCAACTTACTCTATTGTCCTACAGATAAAATTAGAGTCACTTTGTTCGTCTTCGCGGATGGCTTTTGTTGCGAGAGAATACGTTGGTTGTCTCAAATGGTCCACTTACGATATCTTACGTCTCAATTATTAAGATAGAAAAGGAAGGAATGCACCTTAGAAGAGAGGAGGAAGAAGGGGAGGAGGTCACAACGGCAGAATAGAGCGGTACTAACGGGGAGGAAGGGGATTCGTGAAGAGTCACAGAAACTGGAAGCCTGGAGAGCTCCCGCACTCGACCTCCTTAGACTCGCGTGCTTACACGAGAGCGATTTCGCGACCCTTCGCTTGACCTCAGTAGCTATTCATCCATCTGAACTTTTCGAGATCGAATGCGCCGGCCTCGAGAGTGCATTAAACTCGAACCGCCCGGCGAACAGCTCGGAAAAAGTTCCGATCCATCAATAATCGAACGGTTTCGAACGGATAATTGACGAATTCGAATACCCGAGAATATACACCATTGAATTACATTTAATGCATTTATTCCTCTAGACAGCGCGTTTTCAAACGAAATTTCAGGAACTCTACCTGAATTTCGATTGTATGAGAACGCGTTTCACTCTCGCTGAAATATTTTTATATCATAAAAGCTGCAAAATGCATTGTAAAAAGGAACTATAAAAATTAAAGATTTATAGCTCACGAGTGATCGGCTGATGTATAAAAACTGACATCCGAAAAAACAGAATCGTTTCGAGTCGCGTTGCGGTCAGAGGCTCTATTTTAAAGAGCATCAGTCGCGCAGGTATCGCGTTACGCGAGATTTAAGAGTTAGTTTCAAGTAAACGACAGTATAGTAACACTCCTGGAAACATAAGTACATGTATATTTCTCTAAACAAACCTTCAAGTTATTATATTCCTGAGTCCGGATTCTTCGAACCTAAGACGGGTTAACATAGTTCTCGCTTTAAAATAATGTATAGTAAATATAATAAATGTTTTAGTTATTTAAATAGATGTCTGTTGTTTGATAGCAATCGTATCTGTAAATTATTACTATTCTTATTGCTTAGTCTTATTGCTTGTAACGTATTTTTGTGTCTCCAGCTCTAACTACATATTGATGAAAACTTTGTTTCCTCGACTGATCGATGTAAGCACACACCACTTAAAAAATCCATTTCGAATAGTCAATCGTTATCTCCTGTTAAATCGACCAAAGTTGCGAACTTCAATTCGTTGACAAAATTGGTCAATCTAACGCTAGCGGAATATTTCACGAAGGATTAACCGAAAATCCGAATGGTCCTTGAATGATTTTTTTTTCTCTGTTCCTATGCCCATATCCAGTTGTTGTACGAATTTATGTAACATTCCAAATCATGCGATGTACGTTCGGCATTCCATCTGCTGTAAATTGCCACTATTGATGTTTGCTTTTTTATGGCTGACAAAAAAAGTCAAAATTCCTCCATTGTTTGCGTTATTGACGACCTTTAACTCGTTCCGGGATATACTATTTTTACATTTCAGTATATTACGCCGAATAGTTTTTAGAAGTTCAATCTAGCAGCGCGAGCTTTCATTACATTTTTTGTGAGCTCGCTCGCATCACGAAGTTTATTCTTCTTATATACTTGCACCAGTCGACTGCAGTATTCGTGGAAAAAAATTCAGTGAAGTATAGCGAGACAGATGTTTGACTATTCATGTTTTCAACGAATGCTTGAGAGTCAGTGACGAGCGCGGTGGCATCGCGCAGACACTGTTACATACACAAGTCGGCAGGTCCGAGCAGATGATGAGATAAACAAATTATAAATAAAACATCGAACAGCAAGAGAGAGGTGCGAGCAGGTAGGTAGGTAGGTAGGTAGGTAGCTAGGAACCAACATCCGTGCACGTACTATATCCTTGCGCCATCTCGTCCTCTTCGCCGTCGCGTTCGTTGTCGTTGTGCCAGGAGCGTAACGACTGCTTTGAATTTCATGAGGGTGCGAATGAATTCATGGTGGGATGGCGTGGTTGGCCCCGAAGACTCAGCGACTTCAAACGCCTCCTGTGACCTCACGACGACGAGCGAGCGTCACGCGCGTTACACAAGTCCAAGAAGCAATTCTCATAATACTAATTGCTGCTTATTTTATGCCGTATAATCTTTCAGCCACTAACCTGTGACAGAAAGTGATTTCTCAAGATCCGTCAAGCTCTTTATATTAATTTTCTTTTATTTTAAAGACTGATCTCTATAATTTCCTAAAACATATTTCTAGTATTTGTTCAAGCAAATATTATTGTACGGCCTATTTTTTCTCTTTGACAATTCGATTCAGATTTCGGTAATGAGTGCGCTGATATTTCGGAGAGACATTGCGGAGGACGACAACTCGCGTAACCCATTAACCGTAAGCCTTTATGAATTATGTAATCCATTAAATTGCGAAATATCGAACTGATAAAGCAGGTGTGGTCGCGGGTATTTCCGAAAATTATGCTCCAATTCCTCCGGCGAATCCGATTACGCCGGGTGAGCCCTTCGCGCCTAGGTGTAACGAAATCTCCGTTGCCTCGTTAGCTAGTAACACCGCTACGCTTTGACGACGAAATTTATAATTCCTCGCGTCGTTAATGTGGCATTAGTGCAAAGTTATAAAATTACGCGGGCAAGGTCGGCTAGGTGACTATCGACAAACAAATAACTGTATTAACCTCGGTACTCAAAACTTGTTCTATTATAATTTCGACACATTGAACATTATATCGGTTTAATAAGACCGAGTACCCACGAATTATTGACGAAAACGTAGGTAATAAACTTGACTATTATCGTCATTATTGCATTAAACATACAATACGTACAAACATTTGGAGAAAGTACATTTTGCTATTTCTGTCTGATATGAAAAGTTAGTGTTGTCAACGTTTAATTACTTACACATACATCCTTTACAGTATCTTCTCGCGTTTTCTCTCTAAACAATCATTTGAAAGATACATCACAGTAACAAAGCAAAGCGATTTTACTAATACTATTAACTTTTGGATTATTATGACATTGTACGCGTTTTATCATACTCACGAAGGTCGAGAGAGAAAAGCCACGACATTTCGCAGACTTCTTGTTACGGGCTCGGCAGATAAACGAGCCGAACCATTAATAGTTGACCCCGTGGATTATCCGACAAATCCAAGATGGTAGCTCACTGTCAACTAGGTGAGAAACGAAAGGGCTTTAATGAAAGGTCACAATACTCGCCAACACACAGAGAAACGGAACAAAGCATGATCGTCTTACAAAGAATATAATACACATATGAGAGGTGTCAGAAATAACGCATGAAAATCAAACTTGAAAAATAAAGAGAGAGAAAAATCAACACGTGACTAAAGTCACGCGACTTTAAAAAACCGGATTGAAACGTCACAGTACTCGTTACAAAGGAGACCCGAAAGGGGACAACTAATCGCGCGGCGTGCTAAGCCGCCGTAGGCTTAGAAGCGCGTAACTCAACGTGGCTCTCTCCGACTGAAATATTTTGCCGGTTGCCTCGTTATTTATCCTGCCAGGGAAAGTTGTTTGGTGTCGTCGTTGGTAGTCGTAATAAATGTCCTACCTTGAGAGAGCAGGACTTGGCTCGCGCGCACAGAGAGAAGGTGTGTACGTCGTTACACCAAGTTGGCCCGTCGAGCACACTGGTTTTGCCCTACTTTTTGCGCGGCATGCGACCGCGCAACCATGTCGAGGACAATGTACAAGGCAAGCGGCGAGAAAATAAGATATGTCGACGTAAGCGGTTCCTCCGCCGCGTCGTCCTTAGAGAGGATTGGCCTGACGCGAGTGAGTGCATTTTTTTGCGTTCGTCGTGGTTTTCCGTTCTCCTCTGTAAAGAGCGAAAAGACCACGTCGTACAGAAATTTATTGTAAACTCTCTAATTGGAATCGTGCCTCTGCAAAGGTTGGTTTAATCATTTCTAATTTACTTGATCAAACATGCGACGTTATATTAACATATATGTTATATACGTATACATATCGAAGCCTGAGAGTCGATCTAATCGGAAGACGTATTTTCGCGCGATACTGACGGAGACGTCGCGCTTCGGGATAATGAGGCGCGAGAAAATAGAATGACGGTAACGTAACGGTAACGGAAAGAGCGTGGTGCACCGCGACGATCAATTAACGTAATTAATTCAACGACCACTCGTCTACGGAAGCGCGTTATTAAATTTCGAAATAGTCACGATTACATAAGATAAAACGGGTTCATATATGGAAAATGGCTTCGTTATATTCAGACTTCGTTATTCTCCGTGGAACGGAGTAGTTGCTTGTTCAAGATGATCGAATTAGAGCGACGTTTAAATAAATTTACATTGATAGCCACTCATCCACAGCTGTTGTAATGCCTGCTACGCGAATAAATTAGCAAAAATCAACTCTCTC